TCTTGTATTCCTTATAGGAGCTCACATAACGATGCGGTTCCTTTTAGTCGTTGCTAAGTTTGAGCTATACGGTGGCCTGTCCAGAAGAGAAACCGGTTGTTGAAATGGGAAAATAACGCAAACGACGTCTCACCCTAACGAAAAGTGATTAATACCTCGACCGCTACTCAGTCGATCGGTTAACGGTCGTAGATCTCTCGGCGGGAGCCTCAACAACGAGGTCGTCGTCACCGCCAGCTCCGCATTACAGGACTGAGGGAAAAACGACCGACGAGCGAGTTCGACGCTTTCGGCCCGGGACGGGATAGCGACTCACGGGGGACACGGCGCACTCCACCCACTGTCTGTATGTGTTTCTCTGTAGGTTCTGAACGGCGGAGGCGTTACAGCAGCTCGTTACAGCTTTGTGCTTGATTTCTTCGTCAGGCGAACCTGAGTCCAGTCGAAGACCGGATGCGGAATGGGGATGAGTCACAGATTCCGCCGTGCCAAGAAATCATGGGGTGGTGGTGGGGTGGTGATATTTAGACGATGACATCTGACCGATAACATGACGTCGTCGTCGCAGCAACAACAAGAACCGTCCAATCGGATACTGGAGCAGCAACCGGTCGAGCCGTCAGGCATCTTGGTAGGACAAGAACACGGCATCTACATGGTGCGCCAGACGATCCGTTTTTATCCTCTTCTCTGAATCACCAAACCAAGAACACGAAGGCGAAAGTGTAGGCCAATGGGATCCGCGCACCACCCGTCCACTCGGCTGACCCCGTGTTTCTGTGTATGTGTGTGTGGGGGGGGGGAGGCAGACGGGATGAGGCGTGATTCGTGAACGGTTGTTTATCTGGCATTCGGTTCTCAAGAAGACTTATTTTCCTGACCTAATATTCCACTCGATCATGCTACAGTCATCCGTTCATGTGGTCGAAGCAGATGTCTGAGCGAACAAGCGAATGGGCAAGGAGGCGGTTGGTGTCGGCCCGAGCAGACAGTGAATGCAGCCGAACAGGTTTCATAGCGGCGTCAAAAACTACCCAAGGTCGTAGAAGAATATTTGCTGCCCGGCCTGTCTGCCGGCCGGCTGGCCGGCCGGGCGATGGCATTGACCAGAAGTACCAGTTGATCGTCCAATTAAAGAACGTTCGTCCATGACTCAGTGCGCACGCCACGCTTTTTCCATCAGATGTAC